GTAATATGCCTTTACAAAAATCAAATAAAGGAATAAGTTATTTATATGAAAAAATACAAATCAAAATAAAACATGATAAATAATAAATGAACAAAATTTTTGGTATAATTTCAGTAACTATTTGATAAATCTTTCATAATAAAAAACAAACGAGAGACTACAAAAAGTAACATCTTCGAACAAATAATATAAATAATATTTGTACATTGTATACAATTAGTTTTCAACCTTAACTTCATTACCTACTAAACATTTCGACTATTTAGTTTGATTATTAGTTTTGGGTTTTTAATGTACTAATATTTTTAATTCATATATTTCTAACTTTTTTTCTTTTTTTTCGTTACAACAAATATATTTTTTTAAAAAAAATTATAGATTAGAAAATAACTAAAAAAATACGCACTCTTACGCGGTCTAATGGTGGTCTCCGGCGGCTTCATTCAAGAGATTGGTAAGGCCGTCAAGGCGGTGGCCAAAGGCAAAGGCTCAAAATGGTGGTACACTCCTCGCATGGCCGCCGCCTCTCGCGCCGTCGCCGATCGTCTGCCGCTGGTCGATCTTGTTGTTGAAGTCAGAGATGCCAGGGTACGACACTCCTTCCAATCAGCCATGTCTATGATGCATACAACGTGTTTGTTGAAATTCCTGACAGAGTTGTACTCTATGCTGCCTGATATGCTTATGGGATCACATGTTTCTTGAAGTTCATGTCTGGAATAACGTTGTTTATGACACGGGTTTTGGCAGTTTTTGATCTAAAAAAGTTGGAAAACAGCATCATAAAGTTTTTTTTTTTTATTTTTGGTTGAACTTTGCAGATTCCCTTGTCATCAGAATATGAGCAACTGAGTAAATTTCCTGCTTCCTTCAATCGCGTGATTGTGCTGAATAAGATGGACCTTGCTAGCCGGTCCCAAACGAAGGTACTCCTTTTGTTCTTAGAAATGTTTCTCTATGTTGAAAAATATTACACCGAGCTGGTTTTTCTTAGTCATGGTTTTTGTTTGAGTTGCAAATGCTAAAATCCAAGCACTGCAGAAATTAATGGTTTACCATGATTGAAAGAATGATCATCCAATGTAATAAGGAGAATGATACGGTCTGCTTTGCCCGAGGTTTTTGTGTCTAAAAAATACTTAATTTTGTTTTAATTTTTTCATCATCCAATTGTTCCATGAGTTTCTTTAAGCATCCTCTTTTGCAGGATTGGATTAAATTTTTCCAGGAACAGAAATGTATGGCCTTTGCTGTGAATTCACATAACAGGGATAATATCAAGGAGGTAAACCTGCAAAGCTTTCTATTGCATTCAAAGTTTGAATATGTCGTGTTAAGTTTGAATAAGCCATCATTAGCATATACATCTATCAATGATATTTTTTCTTTTATATGCATAATTTCCGACCAATTTACATTTGTTAAAGTAGATGTCTGAGTGGTGCCCTAATTTCTGATCTTATTTGAATCAAGTGTATCAATTTAACATTTTGCAGTTCCTGACCTTTCTACAAGCCAGAGTTCGAGAGTTGAAGAAAAACGACGAAGCAGCTCATACTATAACGTTAATGCTCGTCGGTATTCCTAATGTCGGGAAATCAGCTTTAGCCAACTCTTTACACCATGTCGGGAGGATTTCTGCAGCAGGTGCTTGTTTTTATAGTTTAACACTACTGATTTTGTTTGTGAAGATTTGGAGTTTCCATTTTTACATTATTCAAATCACCTGCTTGTAAATTAATTGAACCTTTTCCTTTTCTTTTCTTTAAAAAATAATTTATAGAGAAAGGGAGGTTAAGACACTCTGTTGTGAGTCCATTGCCTGGAGAGACAAAAGGCATAAGTAGCTTAAAGGTATGCGGAAATCCGAATACATTGTTTTTCTGCCATGAATTATATCAAAACCAACTTCATAATGTTAAAAAGGAACATGAAAAAATGTAGTTGGTGATTTTTCTTCCTTGTAACGTCTTTCATTTTCCAAGAGAGCCGTATAAAATTAGTATAAGTAGTCCTGTCATACATTTTTAGTTGTGGCCCCCGAGTTTTTGAAAATTTCCTGTACCTAATTGCAGATTGCTAGCCATCCTAATATATACGTCCTAGACACACCGGGTGTATTGCCACCCAATGTGATTGATGATGAAGTCTGCTCTAAGCTTGCTTTAACAGGTATGATCAGCTCTATATTTTTCGACTAACTTTTAAGTATTAATTACAACCAAAATATAAAGAAGCCTTTTAAAATTAAAATTTCTTCTTGCGTATAAATTATCCCCAGAACATATATACACACACACACATGTATCTATATCTATATATATATATAACAGTTCGGTTACCGAAGTAAAAATTTTAATGAGTTAACTTTTAAAAGATGACTGCATTTTGTGTAATTAGGCTGAGAAAGTCCCAGAAATTTTTGAAAAAGAACAATAATAAGTTAAAATGAAGAAATAAGGAAGTGGAGAAAAGCAGCAGTAATCAATAATTATTCGATGAACTGCGTTATACAATTTTAATATTCCAAGACATGTTTATGAATTTACGTTTTTAATATGTAGGAGCTATCAATGACGATGTAGCTGGTGAATTGGAACTCGCTCGATATTTCCTTTCCATCTTTAGCTCGTCCGACGAATACAAGAAATGGGAAAAATTAAAATCAGGCTTTGGCTCTCGAGGACCATTAACTAATGGAAGTATTTCAAGTCCGGACAAAAGACAGAAGGGCCAATATCCAACTGATCACACCCAGGTACACACTCGTATTCAGCTCAAACTACGATTAAGTTAAAACGAACTTCAAGATTCCCCTTTTTTTCACTGAATTGTACTTTTTTCAGTTGTGAACTTGAGCCTGTGAGTTTTGCAGGATTTTGTCGTAAATAATGTACGACAGGTACTTTTTGATGCGGTTTCATCTTTTGCTGGTTGTGTAGAAAATGAAGAAGACCTAGCGCGATTAATCGAACACGAATTCGAGGATTTGGTGAAAGCATTTTATCTTCCTTTAGAATCTGATAGAGAATGTAATTATGGTAAAGTAGCTGTAAAGCTGCTTAATCTGTTCCGTACAGGAAGGCTTGGCCATTACACTTTAGACACTGTTCCAGGTATTGCTTAGGGGATAATGTTCTCATCTGAAATAATGAAAATTTAATATCGTATTTCTCCTTGCATATTTTGCTTCGTATGATTTTTTATTTTTTTATTCATATTTTGCAAATTGCATATATGTATGATTATTAAGATAGAACATAACAATTTATAAGCACCTAAGTCTATGATTAGCCTCCATAATTAATACTAGTTTGGTACAAATGATCGTAACATAATGCTATTGTTCGGCATAGACAATCATACATGCAACACAATTACTTTCAAAATGAAATCTTATACTCTAGCAAACAACATAAGTAGAAGTATGGTATTTTATTTAGATGTTTATGCATATTGTCAAAATAATATGATTAGTCGAGCCACTTAACTATCGAGTCGATTACGCGACAAAAACAAAAAATACTACCTTTTAGGTTGGGATCAAGAATAATTAATCATTTTTGGGTGACTATAGACCTTGATTCGATATTAGTGGGATTAAATAAAACACATGACTAAGTAAAACAAAAACTCAAACACAAAACAAAAACACAATTAGCAAAGTAGATTACAAAACTCTACAAGAGAGACTCCATACTCCAATACTAATACGTAACCTGTGCGATGCACGGGATGTAAAATTTAGAAGAATAATATAACCTCACATGCATTAAGATCGAAATTGAAATTATTAAAATACATAGGAACATTGTTGAATCATAAAAAATTCGGTAACAATCATATATTATTAAAAACCTCCTTGTACACAACATTATGAGTTTGATTATTTGGTAACTCCTCATTATCACAAACTAATATTTTCAAAAGAGACAAAATCAAACTAATATTTTTGGTGAACAAACCAATATTTTAGGATTGGTGAACAAACTAATATTTTAGGATTTCTAGGATTTGTCTTTTTTTGGTGAACAAACTAATATTTTAGGATTGGTTATATGAATAAGGCTACCTGTTTTTGGTGTTCTTTTCATTTATTTTCATTCAAACAATCCGATGACTTGTATAATGAAATCCGAATCTTAAACCAAAATATTTAAAAAGAGTTTTTAAAAATTGAAAAGTCAAGGCAATCAGTTCAGATTAATTAAAGGTCAAAGAATATCCGTTCCTTGAAATAAAGACGTGTGCTATCATTAACCAAATATCCGGTTATTGATATAGAGTGGTTACCAAAAAAATAGAACGCGATAAGGACGTTTCATGGAAATATCAATGAGATAAGGTCATAACAGATCGCTATACATTTTAACGATAAAAGTTCAGATGGAATGATTTATGATAATTATGTCGTAATTAATGAATTAATTAGATGTGTGAAAAGGACATAATTGATGAGAAGTGTGAAAAAGACATAATTAATGAGAAGTGTGAAAAGGACATAATTAATGAGAAGTGTGAAAATGACAAAAACTTACCGGTTTTGGAAAATATTTAATGCAAATCCGACATTGACCATAATTTGACTTACTATTTTGGATAAATGTTAATTCTTATTATATAAGTATAGATTGGGAGAATGGCCACCAGACATGGCCAATTCCCGAGCCGTGTAAAAATAATTAATTGATATTGTTTAATTATATTGATAATATTTATGATAGTGTGATTGAGTTTAAGTTGAGTTAAATTTGAGTATGAATTAAATATGAGTATGAATTTATTTGTATACAATAAACATCCTCTAAGTCTCTGACATTAATCATTGACAATTAAGGAAAACCACAAAACAATCACTCATATCAATCCAACACACAAAACAATCACTCTCACTTATATCAATCCAACACACAAGACAATCACTCGTACCAAGAAGATAATGACAAGACCCACAAACCAACAACTTTCGAATATGAAAAACTCCAGTTTAGAAAAAGAACAATTAAATAGATATAACAATGAGTCGTAACTCGAACCCATATCGTGCACGATCTTTCACACTTTCCCTCCTTTTATTTTTTAAATTACTTCTTGCTCAATGAAATTACTATATTGAAAAGCGATGGCACCTCCTTCAACTTCGACAGGTGTTCGGCCAGTTTCTTCGCGTACCTCGCGTATAAATCATCCATGATAGATTTTCCAAAGTGAGAAGCTAAAATTGGCTCGGAAAATGCACGTACACGAATTGAAGTCAGCCTCCCTGATCTTTCGAATTTGTCGACTTCCGCTTCATAATCGTTGCCATGCTTAACATGTGATAAGTCCCAAGGGACGAAAAAGCCCTCGAGCCTATCCAAGTTAAACGACCCGTGTTCGCGAACAAGTGTCTCGACTTCTTGTTTGCTCGCTGGGTATACAGGGAAGTTGAATGAATGCAAGTCAACCTCCTTGACGAGCCCCTATATATATATATATATATATTATAAAATCGCCGGTCAATCAATTATTTTAAAAATAATATCAATTACACGCGTCGTGTATTTACCTCTTGGACCATGTCAATAAGTGTATCGGAGAGCAGTTTGAGGTGCACGTGTTCATCTTTTGTCGAGGGGTCGACACTTCTACCGGCGAACGTTAGGACCATGCGGGCCCCGACAACCATTTCGGCCACGCGTAAATCGAGAAATGTGGTGAAATCTCTCTTAAATTGGCTGTAATAAGCTGCAAAAACATCAGGGGGACTTGCCATGGCCAAGTGTATGTTTTCCCTATTATTCTCAAGTCCTTGTGGAACCTTGTAAATAAAATAAATAAATTAATACCATAAAATTTAAAAAATAAAAAGCCAATAAAATCATCTTTTCGTATATCNTAACTGAAAAAAAAAAAAAAAATGCAATGGAAAATTTCGGTCGCCATATGACGGGCAATTCCATCAGGTTTGGCTGGCCCGATTTGAATACTATTACATAATTTTAAGAGATACTGTGTATTTTATGAATTTAATTAATAAAAATGATATTGGTGGACAGACTAGCAACATTTTTGGAATTTATTATTGAAAATTATCTCTCTCCGTCTTTCCTTCAGCTCATGATGTACTCAATATTTAGTTTTCATGAATATATTCTTTCAAACCTACATTTATTTATGATGAATTAACACTTCATTTGAAAGCATTAAACTTAATAAAGTACCTGAGAGAGCCATTGAAGACTAAATGATGAGTGAACAAAGTTGAGGCTGTTGCGTGGGACTAATCTCCCATAAAATGAGCCTGGCAAGCCATATACAAATGTTTTGGGCATTTGATTACTAACATTGATATTATATGTGTTCTCATGATTATTAAGGTTTTGATAGAATTCAGGCAACATCCTGAAGATGTTGTTGAAGTCATTTCCCGGTAGGTCGTTCAGAAACACTTCGAGTTCGGGCCCATTTTCCTTGCAAAGCTCCTCAATTTTGCCGATTATGCGCGAAATAACGAAAAGGGCATTGGGCCCAGACGAGCAGCCCAAGTCGGCAATCCTGAACCGGTTATCGGGAAAGGCCGCGGTGTGATTGCTAAACATGTCTTTGAGGGTCTCTTCCAAGACATGCCATGATTTTAGTATCCCATTTTTCTGCACGTAATGGAAAACATGGGATAGAAATTTTATGCTTTTGAAATTTCAATCCAATATATTTTCGTTGGAATTTTTTTCATCATATTCTTGTAGTGTTAGGTAGCTTTCTTAAAAAAAACTCGTTGAATTTTATTTCAACTAGTTAATTTATCAAACATTTTTGTTATATCAGCTAGTTTTTCAGTCATCAACCATAAATTATCAATTATAATCTCGAAATTCACGTATCATCAGTTATCAACTAGTTTACCAAATATATCTTAAAACCACACATGAGAGGAGAGATTTTTTTTTTCTTACCTGAAATGCTGAATTGTTGGTGTAGCTGCTATCACCATTTCCACAGTTCATGTGCACATTTACTTGTTGAGCGGCCATTTGCTCTCTGGTTTAGAGATGATATTTGGGATGATGTTTGAGTAGACAAGAATGAATCATCATAAGAATAAAGTAGGCAATATATATAGCAATGAAAATATTGTTGATTTGCTATTTAACAAAAATACATTTCACATGTATTATATAATATGCATTATCTTAATCTTAAAAATGGATCATAAGAATATTGTAGTCAATAAATTTAGCAATAAAAATATTGCCGCCTTGTTCTAGTAACTAGTTGATACTATTTAACAAAAATACATTTCCCAAAACAATCGATTGGAAATTCAAAATATTTGATTTGGATAATCTTTTTGGTCTGGTCTAACTCATAGCTTGATCACTCGAGACCAACCTTATTTCTGTCATATTTTTTTGACTATTTTAAATATCAACTAAAAAAAATCAAATAACTTGAGCAGTCGCCTAATTCAATCATTACCGGTTGATCGAAATAAAATTCCTTATTTTCTTTAACTTAATGAAATAAAAAATATTTTATGATTCATGTAATAAATATTTATAACAAATGACAATATATTAAGATGATAAATTATATTCAAACATAAATTAATTATTTCTTACTTTATGCATACTTATAAAAAACAAATAAACATAATAGTTTTTGAAAATTTAAATTTAATTGAGAGATTATGCAATGGTCACGATAACTTGATACTAACATGAGTTACTACATAGCAGAGATATTTTTCATATCAATTATTATATTTTTAAACATAATATTTTTTTCGCTTGTATGACCTTATATCACATCACTCTGAAAAATTAGCATTTACCATTACTTAATTCTTAATTAATTTATTTTATACCATTATTTTATTTTTATAATGAGAAAGTATAAATACAACCCTTTTAATCATCATGATGCTTTTATATGTAAAAATTGTAAATATTCGATTTGCGATATGACTAATTTTAAATTTTGAGATTTATTGTGAAAAGCGTAATACCAAAAATTGTTGTCGTCCATTTTTAAGTATATATTTTATATTTTATAAAATATAAGTATATATTTTATATTCAAATATATTTATTGATACGTAAATGTTTTCAAGAAAATATGACACATAACTTGTACAAAAAAAGTGAATAATATTTTGACCTACAATTTTGAAAACTAAAGTGCATGATAAGAAGCAAAAAAAAG